CTTCATTAGTAGATGTCGTTCAGTGGGTAGCTTCAGGGAATTTGTATTCCCCATATTCATTAATTATGCCCCTTGTAGGTGAGACTGCTATTACCATCAGACTCTTGAATCCCAGTTTTATAAATTTCTATTTCTTCCTGCTCAGCAGATTCCAGCTCCCCAAAGGTGCCTAAGAAACATTTTGTAATGGACTGTATTTCAATCACAGCTATAAGTAAAGCTGACACAGGAATGTTAATGTCTAGAATCTGAATATTTATGCCTTGACTGTGTAGAATTTCTGTCTGTGTCCAACCAAACAGTGTAACAGGAGCCTTAATGTATCATAGCAGTTTTTGTATTACAAGAACTAATCTTAACCCTGCCCATAGCTCCATGAAACCCACTGTGCATTAGTAGCCAAATCGTGAGGTCCATTTATCTCCACAGAAGTTTGCTTACCCAAGGACTTACTAAAAACTGGGGGGGAGGGGCTCTGTTGTACTTAACAAATGCTGGTTCTGCCTTAGTAGTGATTTGGCACCATATAATAATACAATCCCTCTGAATGCACCTGAAGAACTGCACCTGCTGCCAAGCTCCTCCACTGGTCCTCATCCAACCCACAAGCTCTGCATCTAGCAACTGAAATGGCTGGCAGAAAGGAAGTACTTGAGCCATGGCCCACCTCTTCTCTACCCCATGGGAATATAGGGGTGCAGTTGTGCCCAGCTATTTTGCAGGACCATGGGGGATGAAGAAGGCTACTTGTTTGTTTCATCTGCTATACATGCATGGAGCAATTGGATCCAATCTGACTTGAACCAAGGTCATCATTATTTGGTCCTCTTAGGCTCTGGGTATCCTACATATACATAGTTTCAGTTATGATGCTGGAACTGGAAGAGTTGAAATATTTCAAATGGCTGCTGTATTTTCTTTGGAGCTACAGCTAATGCCTTGTAAACTGTTGTGATTCTGTATTTATTGACATGAAGACCTTCTGAGATATAAGTACTTAATAATACACTCAGAAACGTTATTCACTCACACAGTTAAAAGATAAAACACTTTAATTCGGCTCATTTTCTTCTCAGTCATTCCCTAAATATGAAAGATTACAGTTTAATCAAGTTTAATGACAGTTCGCTCTTTTGCCTTTTTGCTATTTTCCATGATTTTTTAATAAATTAAATGTGTAATAGACATTTGGCTTTTAATTTGGCAATTTGAGATGTCTGTTTAAGTGAGAAAAACATTTGATTTTATCATGGGAAAATTTACTGAACCAGACGGAGTTCCGTGCCTTTTGTGTAGCTAGACTGGAAAATGAAAGGCACGTTAGTTGGTTTTGGTCACCTTTGAACCACGTTGGAAATTATTCTCACTATATCTTTGCTCTGACCCTGAATCAAAATTACAGAGTCAGGTGTACAGAGACATTCCACTCCCCTAATGTTAGCACAGTGCTATTGCTTTTACTACTGTACTGCTGGTGCACTAGCATATTTTCCTGTTAGGGTCTCAAAGCACATACTCATCTTGAAGCAGTTGAAATCAGTGGAACTACCCATATACTTCAAGTTAGCAGGAACACAAGTTGCTGAATTGCAGCCAAAGTACTTTCACCGACAAAAGTAGTCCAACAACAGCCAAAGGAGGTGGATAGGTATAAGTGTTGTTTTACAGATTGGTAACATGACACACAGACTAGTTAGAAACAAAATTTTCCAATTGCCTTAGAATTGGGTACTTACATCTGTATTCAGATACTTAATAAAAGTGGCCTGATTTTCCGAGATGTTGTACACAATAGCTCTCATTGACTTCCATAAACTTAAGAGCAAAGGCATCAGCAAACACATGGGCCAGCTAACTCAGTGTCTTGAGCAATGGCCAGTACCACTGGTTCCAGAGGAAGGTTCATATGACTTACCTAGAGTTTTGCCCTATCTCCCTGAAGCATAAGCATTTCTATTTTTTGCAGATGTTTTCACTGAGCTGTCTACAATGATTTGCAAGTCTTTTTCCTGGATGTTACAATTAGAACCCAGCAATGTATGAGTACTTTACATGATCCCTGACCATGTGTGTTGCCTTATATTTGTCAATAACATGTCCATTGAATCTGAACCTTAGCCCTGACTTTTCCTCTGACTCGAGTCCAAGCCTATACCCAATTTAGATCTACTCAGTCTATAGTATCCTTTAAGTGTTATGTATCTTCCTAGCAGAATAAATATCAATAGTCACATCTCAGCATTCAAATAAGAAGCAGCACAATTATGGCAACTATTTAACCTACCAGCACAGCACTGCAGTTGTCTCTGGCTTCTCTAATTGCCTCTTTGCATAGATTAGGGCTCAAAATTCTCGCTGTGCAGGGTGCAAACTCTCAAGCCATGTTTCCAAAATAAGTGTTCCTTGTCAAAGCTGATCTTCACATTGATTTTCTGTTATTCCTGGTAAAACGTGCCATAATATTTATCATCCCTGAAGTCAAATCATTGAGAATTTTGGAAATTATGCCTTGCTTCGAGTTTCAGAGAAGCCTTTTCTGCTCTGTGTAGAATGGAAAGCTACAGAAAATATGAAGTAAACTTGGCAAGGTGCTCATTGTTTATAATTTAAATGGTTTTGTCCAAGGTAAAATCATAGTAGTAGTCATAGTATTATTTGTTTATTAGTATTATTATTATTAATACTGAGTCCAGAACCCCCCCTCTCTTCCCCTGCCAATACTATCTCCTCCTATGTTTTTGGCAGTGCTGTTGGTCATGATGGAGGTGGCAACTTACATGTGCATGTCCAAAGCTCTTTGTGACAGAATAGGCAGCACAAACAAGACTACGTCTTTGACTTTTTTCCACACGTGTCTTTTTTTCAGGTGTATTTATATGAAAAAGAAAAAGAGCACTCGGCTGCGATGAGTTTTCTTTTTCATATAAACACATTTGAAAGAAGATGTGAGTGCGAGAGACAGCCAGAGTTGCAGCTCAAGGGGGACTCAGTAATGTGTGGGGCAGCCTCAATCCTGCACTGTCCAGATGGCAAAAAAAAACCTCCTGACATACCGTAGAGCAGCTGCAGGGCTGCTCTAAATTATGTCATCCACAGCTGGGGTGATGGAATGCTAGGCCCCTCCTGTCCCGTCATATCTCCTCCTCCACCCTAATGCCTTCCGTGTAGGAAAAGGAATTTTCCTGCAGACCAGGGAACCTTTAGCAGTCCCATTGGCAGCTTTTCTCCTGCCACGTCTCAGCAGGGCATAGATGATGAGGTGGAAAGGGAGCTGCGGATCATGTTACAGGTGGGAACCCTCATGGAACTTGCAACTTATTATAGGTGACATTTCCCCTTCTGTAATGTTGCCAGAAGACATTTCCCACCTGGCCAGTTCCATGAACTTGAAACACAAAGAGCCTTAATTACATGATCCTCCCTTCACTAATCTCTGCCATCTTGAGGAGGATGATCCTGTCTCCTCTTATCTGAAAGAACTATGTTGTCACAGACTTTACCTATATGAAAATTGTAAGGTAAGAGCCCACGCTACTCTCAGTCTCAGGGAGCAGGAAACAGAATTTAGAACTACACATATTATGGTCTTTCACAGGAGGTGATCTGTACATGGTTTCCCACTGGTGGGATGCTCACAGACCATTTTACTCTGTAGACATCTCCAGTTGGTCTGAATCTCCAAACACCTGAAATTTTTCACCTGCTTGACTCGACTCCCCACTTCTCTTGCTCTTCTTCGCTTCCTCTCTCCCATTTCTCTAGTCACAAGCCACTTCTGTTTATACTTCCTTTCCATCATGGAGGTTGTGGTGTTTCCATTATGAATCAGGCATGCATTCTAGTCTTCTTCTCTTGGGCCACGTGATAGGGTAGTGCATTTTTGTCAGGGTAAATTTATTTCAATGTGTTATGTTGTTCAGTAGAGGTGCCATGATGGGTCTGGATAAAGATGGGGACTGAAAGAAAGCAATAACTAGCATTTAATTACTCGTGGAAACAATGACCACCAAAATACAGGCAGCTGTCTGTTTTAGGAGTAAGAGAGGCATTGCTAGTCAGGGGAGCATCTGAGAAGTTGTAGACCCAATCCAACAAGGATTTACTTATATACCTAACAGTATATACTATGGCTGAGTCTAGACTGGCCAGTTTTTCTGGAAAATCAGCAGCTTTTCTGGAAAAACTTGCCAGCTGTCTACACTGGCCGCTTGAATTTCCGCAAAAGCACTGACTTCCTACTGTAAGAAATCAGTGCTTTTTACGGAAATACTATGCTGCTCCCGTTCGGGCAAAAGTCTTTTTCCGAAAGACTTTTGTGTAAAAGGGCCAGTATAGACAGCAGAGATTTCTTTTCCGCAAAATAGCCCCGATTGCGAAAATGGTGATCGGGGCTTTTTTGCGGAAAAGCGCATCTAGATTGGCCACGGACGCTTTTCTGCAAAAAGTGCTTTTGTGGAAAAGTGTCCTGCCAATGTAGATGCTCTTTTCCGAAAATGCTTTTAACGAAAACTTTTCTTTTAAAAGCATTTCCAGAAAATCATGCCAGTGTAGACGTAGCCATTGTGAATAATGCTTTAGAGTAAAAGCCTTTGTTGTGCAAAAGGTAAAGTATGTGCAGTCCTTAAATCTTTCCAGGATCAGGACCTTGATCAGCACCTCTTTACATTAGACATATCAAATAACTGGACGTAATAGGAAAAGAAAACTAAATGGTATGTCAGAATTCAGAGTATAACAGTCCAACTCAGAGAAAAGTGCTGAGAATCTAGTAACATCTATGTTTCAAGATGCTCAATTAACACAAACAGGAATCTAAATGTGAGGGTAAGAAGTGAGATGTCTTGCAAACACAAATAAAGGTGACCAAATGACATGCTTGATCTAGCAGCCTTTTCTGTGCTCTTCTGCTTTGACATATTTTTCATGGGCAAATATAAAAGAATAAATGGAACAATGTCTTTTCTTGGTTGGAAAAAAAACTTTTTTTGTTTTATTTTCAGTGATAAAATGTTCCCAGCCTTTGGTTTTGGAGCCAGGATACCACCAGAATTTAAAGTAGGTGTACAGACGAATCTTTCTGATTTCCATGGTTTATATGGCACAATGTATTGCTACTGGTAAGATGGTTTACCTCTGGGAAAATAGTTCCCTCAGCTTGTTTCATTCTGATGGTCTTCTGCTCAAGTTGTTATCTTGTTACATATACAATGCTAAAAGGCAACCCAAAATTAATGATGTTACAATGCCATTCACAGTTTTTTCTGAGGCTGACATTAGGGTGAGTAGGTTTTATCTTTCCTGGTTCAGATTAAGTTTTGAAGTAAGTATATTTTAGAGCTGTATTTTGGAACCATTAAAAATGTGCTAAGGTCTGATATTACAGAGCCAACATTTGGAAGATTCACTGGGGCCTGCTGCTTTGAGAAAATGTGATTACACCAACACTGTCTCTGAAAATAATGGTCTTAGTGATGCTCTAAGTTGTGGCAATTTTGTATGTCCAAGAGTCTGTCATCAGTGCAAGGAATGGAATGCTGGAAAATATCCATGTTAGAGAGAAGTGTACCCATGCCAACGGAGGTGAGGAATAGATTGATACTGAGTCTAGAAGAGATGAACATAAGAAAATAAAATCCAGACAGGGGATAATAGAGTCAGTGAGGTATCTGGAAAGTGCAGGTTATGAAAACAGAGACAGGAATCCAAATTCTTTGTTGTGTGTGTAAGTTGGAGTGAAGAGTAGCCAAAGCATTGTTCCTGAGCTGATAAGAAACACAAAGCTACTTAATGATTCTTCACTAGTTTAAATCAGGTGCAATTTGAGAAGCAGGACTTGATGATCAGGATGGTTCCTCCTAACTTTAAAGCTTGAGAATCTACAAGCTCCATACTTCCACAAGTGCAAAATTCACTCCACATCAGAATGCCTCCTCCTTTGCATCGCCTATTCCCACTCCCACTCCCCCAGACACACAGTGTTGCAATTACAGTAACATTGGGAGAAGCCTTAGCAAGGTAAAAGGTCTATGTACAGGTGTGGGTTTTGTGTTACATAAGTTATATTATACCATGTGAAACAATATGTTCAGGAAAATATACCGGAGTGTCCTTGTGTCCAATAATACTGTTGCCCAGCAATAAGAACACAATATCTACTCATAACATACTTTGTATGTGTCCTGAATGGCAATATTTTAGTGCCAGTCTACAACTTTCCTAATAGCATTTGCTCAGTTTGATTTTTTCAGTACGATTAAATCCCCATTGACTGAAAAGCTCGAATGTGAGAAAATGGACTGCACACAATAATAGATAAGTGCAGTACCTAGTAACTAAACAGTAACCTGGCATTTCACTGCTTTCCAGAAAAGAAACAGCCTATTCAAATTGTATAAGGTATGACATGATAATCACAATATGAAAAATTACTATTCATACACATTCGTCAATCACATTTTCTTTGCAACAGCAGCCAGGAGCCATAGTCATTATGTTAAAAACAATGATTGGGAAGATAAATACATAGAATGACTTCCCCTACCATTAGCATTAGTGACACCTAGCAGACACATGTGAACTTTGCACATCTGTACCTATGGGTTATAGTCCTTAAGTACATTTATCGTAGAGCCCAAGATGCATAACTCTTTAGCTAGATGGGACAATACATGCACCGCAGCAATTTGTTTTGTGCGGCAAGGAGAGTGGTCATCATGCCAATCAGCAACACATCATTGGGCATTTGCACGCTTCTTTTGAAATTCATACAAGTAAGTGCCCTTAGTAAAAGAGCGGCTTTACAGTGAAATTGCAGTTCAGGGTACATTGGAAGTCTCAAAGGCAATAGCAAGAGCTGCCCGAGTGGTGGTAAGGAATTGGCCTCACAGGACCTAGGCAATATGTGGTGGGGTGGAGTAAAAGTGGCCAGGCAGGCCAATTAGCTCCATGGGGTGCACCTGGAGGAGGAGCCAGTGAGCATGCCACTAATTAGAAGGCAGCTCAGCTGGGCAGGAACAAGATGGGTCTATATAAAGCCTAAGATGAGTGAGCACCAAGATGCTGCAGGAAGGTGGGGAAGTAGACTCAGTCACTCCCTGACTGAGAAAGGGAGGATCTTAGTGACCTGCCCAGGGGAGACTGCAGATCTGGTAGCAACCAGGGTTGCAGACCAAGACAGGACAGGGGATCACACTGCTAGAGAGAGGGAGCAAGCCTGGCGGAGATAATTCCAGGATGGCCAACAGGAGGTGCCTCTACCAGTGAATGGCTCCCATAAAACACTGACAGACAAGAACCTCACAAAAAGGAGATGGAGATGGAGATGGAGATGGGTTTAGGAGAAATAATCTGAAACCTATGAATTCATTGATTTGTAAATTGAGTGTATGCATGAGCAAAGGGCACAAGATACACAGCTCAAAGAAACACCTGCAATCTGCTCAATGGGAGAGTGCCATAGACATGATAGAGCTAAATGATAGGACCTCAAATAGCCAAATGAAAACCCAAGGAAGAGAATAATCAGACTGCAGCAACAGGTGGGGGACTTGCAACCAACTTGATGTGAGCTCCCAGGAAAGAGAAAGCCTCAACTGCACTAACTGGTGAGGAAGAAGGCAATGAGTTTCACTATGCATCTGAAAATCTTAACTAGCACATGCATGAACATTGAAAGTGGTGTTAATAATTGTCAACTCAGCTGTTCAGTCCATCCTAATGACTTTCTGCATGTCTGTGTGCAGTGACTGTGTTCTACATAAATTAGTATTACTTCAGCTTTGCTTTAACCCCTTTTCAAAATTAAGTTAAAACTTGTGTCCCCTAGGAAGTAGGGAGGGGTGTCAAAATCAATACATGAATAAAGGTTAATGCATGAAAAGGTATGGCTATCTCCACTCTAATTAGACACTTGTGGCCAGCCTGTGTAACATCACTTGGGAGATGTGGTGAAGGGGCTGTTATCTGCACTGTACATGTTTGCTCTGGAAATCCTCCCCACTCACAGGGTCCTAGAGCCTCCATCCCCAGCATGAAAGTCTACACTGCAATTAAACAACCCCTTAACCTGGACTTCAAGAGCTCAAGTCAGCGAACACAGGCCAGCCATGAGTTTTAACTGCAGTATAGATACACCCTCAGATGCCAAATATTCCTCAGGAATTGTCTCACATGGGAACATCAGCATCAGGGTAACTGTGAGACACCATAACTTTGCTGAAGTCCAAATGGGAGCCAACTACTCCTTGTGCTGTTGCAAGGTGAAGGAGAATGAGAGCAACGTAGCTGGGAAAAGCAGTGGACAATGGAATGTGCAAAGTGCCGGTCTTATTTATGTAAAATAGAAAAAAAAACATAATGTACTACTAAGTGTGCATTCAGCCTTATAAAGTAGCCATTGAACATTTCATTAACCAGTTGGGTGCCACTTATATGCAAGTTGACCCTAACCTGAAAAAGCTGTGGGTCGGTGTCTCATATGTACCCAGTATCATTATAGTTTTCAGAAGAATTTATATAATCCTACCTGTTAGACAAGTTAGGCTTTTTCAATATCTGTTGGGCTTCTGTTAGTAGTTAGAGATCAATGTAGGAAGCTAATAGTCTATTGTTGGCTTTAATATATTCTGTCCTATTTCACCACCTTCTAACCTCCCCCTATTTCCTGTATTAAGTGCAATACTCAGCACAGTAACTATTATTCTTTACCACAAAATGCATCTTCCCCTTCCAGACCTGAAGAAGAGCTGTATGTCAGCATGAAAGCTTGTGTCTCTCGCCAACAGAAGTAGGTCCAATGAAGACATCACCTCACCCGCCTTGTCTTTCTGCCAGTGTTCCACATTGTCAATCAAAAGTGGAAATGTCCAGGCAGAACAGAACCTGTTTGAGAGTGAGCTCATTGAAAAACATGTTTGTTTATACAATTTCTACAGTATTTCTATGAGGTGAATGTCTCTGTCACATTGGCTGAATAATATTTTTCCATATTTGAGCTCCAAATGAAAATACTCAGATTCGATTCTTTTCCTGCTAGCAGCTAAAGAGTTTAAACATCTGTTTCTGTGGTGGGACAAAGAACAGAGCAGATACAATGAGAAGTAGTATGCGCATCATTCCTAAGAAGCTCCAGCAGTGTCATCTGATATTTTGCAGTACGAGAATTCAACTCCAATAAGTCTTCTCTTCATCAGTCTGCCCTCCTACCCAAGTGAGCTAGTACTGTCACTGAGAGAACATTGATTGCTCACACTTTGACCAGAGTAGGCCTGTCAGACACCCCACCCCTCTGTAATTGACAGTTCTGTCAGACAATTCTGCTGTGTTACAGAGAAATGAACCCCCAGACAGCAATGACCTTTATCAAGAGGAGCTGGATTTTACTGCCATATCTAAGCAAAAACAGCCCAATCTCTCTGAGACTGAAAAATCCTCATATACTAGCCCAGGAAAGAACACACAACATGTGGAGCATGTACGATTTATCCCAAGGGAATATTCTATACTGACCACCCAGTTCTTGAATAGTGCTTCTATATAGGAGTCAAAAAAGAACATATTTTGGATGACCAAAAATATGGATTCAGAAGGAAAACCACAATAAGGAGGATGAGGAAGAGGGGAAGACTTACCAGACTCATCTTTCAGAAGACATGACACAGAGCAGAGCTTGCAAACCATACACCACCAGAAAAAGCATTGTTATAGTAGAAAAGAGCAGTTAAAATGTCAACTCCCTGAGAAAAGAATTGCCAAAAGTAACTTCCCTAATGAAATATCCCAACTGTGTATGTTTTGAAGACTGTACAGGTTGAACCTCTCTAGTCCGGCACTCTCCAGACTGATGATTGCCAAACCAGAGAATTTGCTGAACCACAGGAGGTCAATATTGTCTAGCAGCATCACCAACATTTCCACTGCTTACAAGGCTCTTATAAGTGTGGAGGCAGGAAAAGGGAATAAGGGAATTTGTGTGCAGCCAACTTGGTCTTGTTAACAAGAGAGCAAGAGTCAGGCTAAGTCTGTGGCCTGACAACGTGAGATCTGTAATTAGACGC